CACATAGGATATAAATATCATTAATCATTTTAACAATATTCAAAGAATAATATATTTAACTTAATGAGCTTTCTTAAATGAAGTTGTAATAATAGTGTATATATTATATTTAACAACATTATTATTTTTAAATCATACATACATATCAATAATTTTATTAGTAAAAGTTTTCAATTAATTATGGTTATTGTCTTTTGTACATTTGAGCAATATCAAATTGAAAAATAAAATAATTACTACTTGAATAAATATTATCAATAATATACAATGTATATGTTATTCTATTGATATACTTAAAAACAATACACCAGTTAACAAAATGAATTTAATGAATAAATATATAATATAGAATGAATTTTCATTTTATTTTATTGATTTTTAATTCATAATATTCTTTATTCGATTTCACAATGATTATGAATGAGATAGGATAAATAATCATTTAAAATTGGATTATTTGACATATATATTCAAATCATCAACAGAAAATAGTATATTATTACATTGAATAGATCTGTATAACATGTACATTATTCTGTTAATAAAATAAATATTTTTAATTAGTTTAATATATTCACAGAATATCATTAAATAGCCAATGAAAGAAATCTTGTTAAAAAACAAATAATAAAAAAAGGGCAAGTAAAAAGAATATTAAGTGAATAAGTAAATTTAATGTATACACAAATACAATTTATAATAATGATTTATTTATTAATACATATCAATTTATAAATTAGAATTTATTAAGTACAAAAAGATAAGAATTAAATGATGTAATAAAATGTGTTTTGTACACAATGAATAAATTGTATTTAAAATGAAAATAAATACAAGCTGAATATCAACAATTATAAAACATAGAATTAATATTCTTAAAAAAAGAAATCATAATAATTAATGTTAACGATAAATTATTACAAAGTCAATATGAAGATGACTTCAATTAAAATATAATAATATTTAAATATATTATTAAAACATTTGGTATTAGTATAAAATATGAAATAATTTATATATTTAATTGTATTGTTATATTTTTATCATCACTCAAATAATTATATATTAAAACTCAATTATATAAATGGACTACAATATATTTAGAATATGGAATAACTACTTTTTAACATTTATAATAAATAATTATAGATATACATATCAATCATTCCTTTTTTAATTCAATGAAGTAATATTTAAATTTTATTCGACACAAAACATTAAAAAGTTGTTTTATTGAGACAAAATTATTTATAATAATTTTGAGCTGATAATAAATAGATTCAAAAATTATTTTAAAAAACTTTTAATAACTACAAATTGACATATTAAAAGCCATAAAAACTAATGCTTTAATTTTTATTTAAACAAATGACAAAGTATTATTTCATTGAGTTGGTATTAATTAGTTTATGATCAAGAAGTGAAAGGAATAAATATAAAATAATAAAGTGTCAATAAATAAAGAATAAGAGAATATAATGGGATACAAAACAAAAAAGAATAATTAATAAAAATAAATGTTTTTTCTAAAAAAAGGGTAGAAAAGAACTATTTTAAGAATCATTGGTTAAAGGATAAAGATGCCAGAATGTGACACAAAAGGGCTTAGAGAGATTCAAGAAAAAGACTTTGAATTAGGCCAATGGTATACATCTTTTAGGGATGAAAATTATTGTGAAGATCAATTAAGTGATATTTTTGCGATAGCAACTAATAAATTAGTTAAAGATGTTTCTGAGAAATGTGGTTGTTTTGAATAATTAAATAAATTCATTTTGTATTAATATTAAAGGGTTTAAAAAAGAATAAAAAAAAATAACAATTTATTCAATATTATTTATCAATATGAATTTTTTGATATGTTGTTTTGATATAAAAGAACAAGTTTTTCCTTCCATTAAGTAAATAAAATAGTGAATAAAACTTTCATTAAATTAACAGTTATAAAACATAAAAATAAAATAATTAAATGAATTTTATAGAAAAATGATTTAATTTAATTTAAAGACTAATTTTTTTCCTTTCAACTCTTTATTTCGATTTTTATTTTTCTTCAATTTAACTTTATTTGTTTAATACTTTTCCATTATAGAACCTTGTTTAAAAATAGTAATTGAAATAAAAAACCATAAAGTATTTTGCACTAAGTTCGGAGTTAAGAGGAGGTGTTAAAAATAGATTTGTTTAATTTAAAAAAATTTTATTTAAAATTTTTAAGAAAACAGAAACAAAAAAGAAAAAGAAAGTTTCATTTTATTATTTCTCTAATGGCATCACCTCGACTCAGTTTTAGACAAAGTTTGGTTTCTCCACATTCTAAATCATTATCTACTGTTCCTTTAGTTGTATTTTTAAGTGACCAAAATGAAATTATACAAACTATGAAAACAGTTCCACCAGCATCAATGCTTATTTGGGTTTTAACACCAACAAGTGAATCAACAAAGTTTGGAATAACTATTTTCTTTAATTTAAAATACATTAAAGAAAAGAATAAATATATTTACATTTATTTAGAGGAATTACTATTACAATTAAATACTATAATTTAATTTCACATCACACTTTATTCAAAGATAGTGTTCTTACAACATTAACAAAGAAAAAAATTGGTAACTCAAAACAAATAGAATATCATGTGTCTACTAATGTTAAAGGAATTACTAATAATAATATTAGAGCTGCTATTAATCAATTCACTTTATATCAACAACTCGTTCAATTTCTTATGAGAACTCAATACTTTAGTGATTTACCTTCAATGAATAAATCACCTACTATTCATCCAGACCCAACTTCTCCTCGTTTAATTTGTCAATCAATTCAAGGAATTAAAAGAATTGATTTGGATGAAGAAAATGGTTCATTATTATTATTAAATGAAAAACTCTCTATTATTGCTCGGTGTGAAACTGTTAATCGTGCAATTAATGCATTAAAACAATACATTAATCCTACTCAACTTCCTAACTCTTTTTCAACAGAAGAATTTAATATAACTAACAAACTAAATGAAATTCATGCAATAAGTTGTGCTGAATCTTTTGTTATTAAAGATGTAATAATGGTTTTACCAAAATTTATAAATGACTTATGTCATCATCCAATTACTGACCTTGTTAATTCTTTAGAAGTATTAATCAGTCGTGTTTTTTCTAATTCATTAATTGAACAAAAGACTATCATTAAAATGTTATTTGATCATATAAGAATGCATTCAATTTGTGATGGAATTTATCTTCTTATTGGTAGATTATTGGATAAATATACTAAAGCATTTTGTACTGTTCTTCAAACAGAAAAGGTAGGAACTATACTAACTGAAAAGATGAAAGAAATATATAAAAATATTTTTGGTGATTATACCTTTGATGAAAAACCATTGCCATCAATTAAAACTGTTATTGTTAAGGATGATAATACAACAATTAACTATGATGATATAGACAGAGGATCATCAAAACAAGTAAGAAGAAAGTCTATCTTCTTCTCAAGTTCATTGTTCCAAGAAGATGATACTTTCTTAAGAAGACAAAGTAGAAGTTTCCAAAGAGCAATTACTCCAAGAAAAACAGGAAAAGGAAAAGGTGATGAACAATTAGAATCAAAAAATGAAATGAGGGATGAAGCAAGAAAATTAGCTCAAGCATTTTTTAATGAAAGTCTTCCTTATATTCTTAAAGTAGACCAAACAGGAGTTAAGATATTTAATTCAAAAAGTGAAAATGAAGCATGTCTTGATAACTTAACTTACAAATCTGGATTTGAACAATTAAAACAAGTAATTAAATTGACTAGATATAATATAGTTATAGAAGAAAATCATGAGCTAATCAAACAAATTTGTTTTTTCCTCATTCCTTCAGTGTCATTAGGTTATAAAGATTGTTTTAAAGAAATTACTCATTCTATGGAAGATTATTTTCAACATATTTATGTATGTAATAAAGAAAATATTTTTATGAAAATATTAACTGATTGGGAATTAATTATAGAAGAATCAAAATCATTTAATGCTTATTTCTTCCGTATTTTATTAAAAATATTTAGAGTTTATATGAAAATAGCTAGATATCAAACAATTGGATTAGGATTATCAGAAAGAGTTTTAATGCCTATTTCTTTATGTCTTCAACGTCCACAAACAGAATGTTATTTAGACTCTCAATATGACCTTTTAATAGAAGTTGGTCGTTGTTTTAAAATTTTTAATAATAAATGTTTAAATGAAACACATTCAGTTCATGCAATTCAACAAATATATTCACCAAAAGAAATTAGTAAATTAGCAATGGCATGTGCAAAAAGATATCTTATTGATTATGATAAAGAAACTTCAAACTACCATGAAAATGTTAACAAATTACTTGGAAAGAAACGAGAATATGCTATTCTTTATTTTCAAGTTCTTGTTCGTTTATTACAAGTCTTTGAT